TCCTGCTTTTTTCACTCGTTCATTTTTGTCCTTTCCCTTTCACTCGTTTATTCATTCCTTCATCCTTCTTATGCTTTTTCATTCACTTTTTCTTTCAGTCACTCCTTTTGCTTCTCTGAGTTTCTTGTTCCTATGTTCAGTTTGTTCACTCTTTGTTCATTCCTCCTTTTCTTTCATGTTTTCCATCGTGTCTTGCCTTCAATTCCTCCTTTCTTTCCTTTCCCTCTCTCTCATTCTTTTGTTTCAAATTTGCACTCTCTCACACTTTCTTTCATTCCTTCCTCTTTTGCTTCCACATCCATGCTTTCTTGCATTTGTTCTTGCTCTTTCACAGTCACTCTCTCCTCTTTCTTCCTCTCTGAATCTCTTGTTCCTCCATTCTTTCTTTTGTAGCTTCCTCCTTTTCTTTCACATTAGCTGTATTTTTGTCCTGTCCTTTCCCATTCACTTTTTTCCCCTCCTCCTCTTTCACATTCACTTTTTTGTTCCTTCTTTCCTTTCCCTTTGCATTCACTGTTGTATTCATTCCTTTGCCTTTCACACTCACTCAATTTTATTTGTTCCTTCTTTCCTTTTGTATTCACTCCTTGTTCCTCCTTGCCTTGCCTTGTCACACTTTCTTTTGTTCCTTCTTTCACATTCACTTCCTTTCTTCTTCCACTCAGCTTCTCCTCCATCCTCCTTTCTTTTGCCTTCCTTCATTCATTCCTTTCAAATGCCCACTTTCTCTTCTCTCTCACACTTTCTTTCACGCCTTCCCTTCTCTCATTCCCTGTCTCCCTGCCAGTCCCCTCTGCACTCTTGGAAGCCATTTCCCAGCAGCCTCCGTTCTGGGCATCACACGCTGCCCCAGACACCTCCTCCCTGGGCTCATTAGCTCCTCGAGGGGTCGTGGATGATATGTCCATCCCCCGCCTCAGGCCCATTGATCCAAGCCCCAACGCCCACCCATGTGCGTCACGGCCGAGAGGGGCCGAGGCAGCCGTGGGCAGGCGGGTGGCAATAAATGCCCCCGGCCACCAGCCAGGCTGCACACGGTGGGTCCCAGAACCAGCGGTGAGTGCAGGCACTGCCACCAGGGGGTGACGTGGCTGGGGCCAATGTGGGGGTGTTGCTGGGGGAAATCAGGAGCCAGGCTGGGCTGGGGCGGGGGTTGCAGCTAGGATCTGGGGAGAGGATGTTGGGGTGGGGCTGGGGGTGCCATAGGTCTGGTATGTGCGGGGCTCTGATGCTCCATGTGCCCTCAGGGCCAGCTATGGAGCCTGCCGGGAAGGGCCTGGTGTGTGTCACAACCCTGCTGGGGTGTTGCCTGCTGCTGTGCTCTGGGGTGCTACTTCCTCCCCTGCCAGATCCTGACAGGTAAGAGAAACCCCTCCCCGCCCCCCACAGAGGTGGGGATTGGTGCCCCCTTTCCCTGCTCCTCCCATCCATTCCCCCCAGTTTGGTGTCACCCAAATAGGGATCCCCAGCTCGATCATGGATAGCCTTGTCCACCCACCCCCTCCTAGAGCTGGGAAAGGACCCAGGGGTCCGGGCTCTCAGCTCCCCTGCTGCTGTAAACCACTGGAGGCTTCATTCCCAGAGCTGGGGGAGAACCCAGGCATCCAGGCTCCCAGCTCCCCCCCTGCTGTAACTCACCACATCCCACCTCACTCCCAGAGCTGGGAAAGAAGCCAGGGCTCCTGGTTCCCTCATACTCCACTCCCCTCCCAGAGCTGGGAGACAACCCAGGGATCCTGACTCTCGGTCCCCCCTGCTCCTACCCACCAGACCCTTCTCGCCTCCTAAAGCTGGGAGAGAACCCAGGCATCCAGACTCCCAGCCCCCTCTTCTCTAACCCATCTGACCCCGCTCCCCTCCCAGAGCTGGGCTGGAACCCAGGTGTCCTGAGATGTATGTCCGTCAGTCTCCCCAGGCTCTGGAAGCAAGATGACACCCCAGTGGGCACCAACATCCAGCCCCTGCCCTCAGCCCTGGCCCTGCTGCTCCCACCCATCCCCCTGCGGGGCTGGAGCCTCCAAGCCCTGCTGCCCAGCATGAGGTCCCCCTGGGAGGAAGAGGGGCAAAGCAGGAAATCCCGCCTCTGGAACAGGCCAAGACAGGGAGTCTCACCTTGGCGGGGAGTCCCAGCACCTGGTGAGGGCGGGAAGCGGAGCATCGTGGTGGCTGATGACGCAGCCTTTCGGGAGAAGAGCAAGCTGCTGACGGCCATGGAGCGACAGAAGTGGCTCAACGCCTACATGCAGAAGCTGCTGGTGGTGAACCAGGACTAGGGGTGCTGGGAAGGGTGAGGGCAGGGCCATGGCTGGCTGTGTGTCCTGCGCCATGTGGGGAACCCCCAGAATAAAGGGGCGGGAGAGTCCTGCCTTGTGAATCAGCCTGAGTGGCGTGTCCTTGGCCTCCTCATTGGTGAGGGAGGGAGAGGTGGTTGGGTGGATGGAAAGATGGAAGATTTGGAGGATGGGTGGATGGATGAAATTGGTGTGGATAGATGGAGGAACAGGGCTTGTGGGGATGCGTGGGTGAAAGATTTGGAGGGTGAAGGGATAGACGGATGGGGTTTGTGCAGATGGATGGATGGAAGGTTTGGAGGGTGGATGGATAAACGGATGGATGGGATTGGGGTTAGTTGAATGAATGGATAAGGTTTACGAGAATGGATGGAGAGATGGATGAACGGGGTTTGTGGGGATGGATAGGTTTATGGGAAGGGAGGGAAGGATGGATGGACTGGAAGGGGCGGTAGAGGTGAGAAGATGGGGAGTGGGTATGGGAGGGATGGATGCAGGGAGAGGGTGTGGGGAAGGAAGGATCAGGGCATTCACTCAGTGTAGCACACCTGATTTGAGGGCACATCTGGCCACAAACCTCCTTTCTCCCCAGCCTGGCTCTTTCCATCATTGGGGGGAGGGAGGGGTGCCCTGCCCCGCCCCCACAAGGGGCAGGTATGGTTCCCTCGGTAGCCAAAGGGGGCTGTGCTGGGGCCTCATGGTTTGAGCTTACCCCCACTGTAGTGCCCCACAGCCCCCCCTCCCGAATCAACCCAGGACCTCCTGCATTCCCTACCATACCCTGCAGTCCCCAACACCCAACCCCAGAGCCACAGAAGCAGTTGGGCAAACCTGGGCATCCAGGCTACCAACTCAAGCTGCCCTAAACCATCAGCCCCCACCCCCACAAATAGCTGAGAGAACCCAGGCATCCAAGTCCCTAGAAGAAGCACCACACTGAAGCATCTCTCTGAAGAAAAGGGTTTATTCACTCTCACTCCCTGCACTTGTTCTCCGGAGGCCATGTCTCGTTCCCTTTGTCCAATGTGCCAGGGGCCGAAATTAGGTGCGGGGGAGGGTGTCTGTGCCCCATAGTCCCTGTCCCGGCAGCTAGGTGCACCCTGGTCATAGCTGCAGCCCCAGCCCAGAAGAGGGACTGACTCCATTTGGAGAACAAGGGGTTAAAAGCATTGTGGCAGGAGTGGGAATCCGGCACCATGCATCCATGGCCCCATATGGCTATGGGCAGGTGGGGAGTCTCTGTGGGGTGTCTGTGGCATAGAGGGAGAAGGTGGGAAGAGGGAGGTTGCCTCATGCCCCAGCAGAGAAGGAACCCTTAAGGAAGTGTTTGTGGGGGAGGTTGGGGTCTCTCCCCAGGAAGGGAAACTGAGGCAATAAGATGGAGAAGGGATGGCAGCCTCAATGCCAGGCAGGGGAAGTGAGTGATGACGAGACTGAGGAGAGCCCAGGAGTCCAGACTCCCAGCAGCCCCCTGCACTAACCCACCAGGCCCCACTCTGCTCCCAGCAGGGCAGAGGGGCTGGGGGTCCTTTGCCCTGGACCAGCTCTGAGGCTGGAGTGGGAGGTGAAGAGATATGTGATGGGAGTGCCTCACCAGGCAGTTTTAGGGAAGGACCCCTGAGTGCGAGGGATAGTGTGAACACCAGTGCTTGCATGAGCACATCTGTTAGCACGTGTGTTCATGTGCATGGAGCTGGTGGAATCCAAGGGTGATCATGAGTTCACGTGTCAATGGGGCATATGTGAATGTGAACAAGGGGGCTAGGGCAGGCATCTGCAGAGTGTCAGTGCTGCAGCACATAGCCCCACATGCCACAATGGGCATGGGAGGGTCATTGTGCAGGTCTATGCACAAGTGTGCTGGGGGGGGTGGGCAGGGTCAGAGCAGGCATGTGAGCAAGTGGGGCTGAGGGCTGTATTAGTGCAGAGAAGAGGAAGCATGTGGGGACTACAGTGTGAGTAAGGATTAGTGTGAGAGTGAGTAAGCGGGAGAGGCCCCCATGCAAAGAAGTGTGAGTGGGAGTGGGCACTTGTGCAAGAGGCACAAGCAAGCTAGTGGGGCAGCTGTGTTCAGGGTGGCCAGCACTAGTGGAAGTGCAAACATGGGTGGGGGTACCAGTGAGAGTGAGTGTGCCTGCTGCTGCCTGTGTCAGGAAGAGGTGCAGGCAGGGTTCTGGGCACGGGGCCTGAGGGGTCAGGGCTGGATGGCACCGTTAGGAAAGGCCAAGCGCTCGAGAGCTCCCAGCTCTGAGGGGGAGAAGAGAGAGAGACAGCAGCTCAGCTGCAGCACCTGCCCCCCGTGCCCCCTCCCCTGAGCTGGGAGAGGACCCAGGCATCCTGGCTCCCACCCCACTGCTCTAATCCACCAGCCCCCACTCCCCTCCCTGTGTTTGGATAGAACCCAGGCATCCTGGCTCCCAGTACTCCCAACTTTCACCCACAAAACCCAACTCCCCACACTAAACTGGGAAGGAATCCAGGTGTCTGGGCTCTCAACAGCCCCCACTCCCAAACACACCAGACCCACTCCCCTCCCCATGCTGGGATAGAACACAGGTGTCCTGGCTTCCAGCCCCCTGCCCAGTGCTTTGACCCATCAGACCCCCACCCCCATTCTGAGAGAACCTAGGTGTCCAGCTCACCTTGGAGGTGCAGGTAGGGGAGGGAGTCCAGCAGGGTATGGATGGCACTCTCATCCATGGGGTGCACGGGGTCACCTGGAAGAGAACAGGTAAGGGTGAGTGTGGGTGGAGAGTCAGGAGGAGGGTCCTGGGGGGTTGTGGAGGGGGTGGGAAAAACTCACCAAAGTGCTCTGACCCCAGGAGGTCAATGTCCTCCACAGCCTCTCGCTTCCCAGCCAGGGCCCCCTTCTCCATCAGAGTGTGATGAGCATCTGCCAGAGAGACAGGGTCAGGGTTGGCATGGGCCAGGACACCTGGGTTTCATCCCAGCTCTGGGAGGGAACGAGGAGCCTGATGGGTTAGAACAGGGACATGGAAGGGAATCAGAGTTCCTGGATGGCAACTAGGATCTGGAGGGTTGGAGCAGGGGGGGGGCATAGGAGTCAGGACACCTGGGTTCCATCTCAGTTCTGGGAGATTTGGTGGGTTCCTGTGGGGTTGAGAGCCCGGACACCTGCGTTCTCTTCTGGGTGGGGTCAGAGTCATACTTACGGGGGCCCAGCAGGTACCCGGCACTGTTCAGGGTCCATCCACGTTTGTCTTTTGGCTGCAGGGGAGAGAACAGTTCCATTAATGCCATAACTGAACCTCCTCCTCCCACTGTGAATGATCAGGCCAGGACCCAACCCCACCCCACCCCACCCCTCCAAGCAGTGCAATCAGTGGGTTGGGGTGGATCAGACCATGCCAGTACTGGGGGTGGAGACCCTGAGTGCTGCTCCCCAAACCGGGATCTGGTGGGAAGAGGCAGCAGCTTAGCACAGAGTAGGGGGGATTTTGGCAGCAAGGGGGGGGGGGTGTCTCTCACCATCAGAGCCATTCCAAAGCTCTCAGCCAGCAGCCAGCACAAAGCCAGGGACAGGCAGAGTGTGGCCCGTGGATTCATCTGAAGGCAGGGGAGAGATGCAGGTGGGTGTCCTGACTCCCAGGAATCCTTCTACCCCTTGCAGAGATGGAGGTAGAACCCAGGTGTCCCAACTTCAGACCCTCCACTCCTGACCTGCAGCCCTCTGCCCCTCCAGCCCAGCCTGTGTCCCTCACTCCCATCCTGCAGCCCCCTGCTCCCCCACCAGTGCTCCTCGTTCCTGACCCACAGCCCCCTGCGCCCCCAGCCCTGCTGGTGCCCCTTACTCCCAATCCACAGCTCCCTTCCTTCTAGCCTTGCTGGTGCCCCTAACTCCCAACCTGCAGCCCCCTGTCCCTCCCCCCAGCCCTGCCAGTGCCCCCAATTCCTACTCTGCAGACCCCTGGCCTCCTCCAGCCCTGCTGGTGCCCCTCACTCCCAACTCACATAGCCCAGCTCAGGAGTCTCACCTTGCTCTGTCCCCACCTCCCAATCCACAGCTCCCTTCCTTCTAGCCTTGCTGGTGCCCCTAACTCCCAACCTGCAGCCCCCTGTCCCTCCCCCCAGCCCTGCCAGTGCCCCCAATTCCTACTCTGCAGACCCCTGGCCTCCTCCAGCCCTGCTGGTGCCCCTCACTCCCAACTCACATAGCCCAGCTCAGGAGTCTCACCTTGCTCTGTCCCCACCAGGCACGTGTCAGAACTAGGGAGTGCAGGACTCTGGTTTTATAGAAGGGAAGCGGCAGGGGGGGGGGGGG